CATGAAAGGATTTTGGAAACTAAATATTTTCTCTTCAAAAATGTCTTCATCAATGATTCGTTCACAGGCACTGATTTTGATCCATAATTTTCTGAAAATTTCTCCCTATACCTAATAGTTTATTTTTGCGCAAAACGTTAATGCCTGATGTTTCTTGAAAGCCCCGTGTTGTACTTCGGGTATATACCTGTGGGTAGAATGTTAGTTTGTTTCTTACCGAATCCCGCCATCATTTTGCGGAAACAGGGAAACACGAAATTGCGCCGAGTGTGGTCGGAAATCAAACACGGTTTTCCAGAGAGTCACCCACTCGAATCCTGCTCGGGGAAGAAGAGAATTCTTGCTCATCGACTGTTTGTTTTGATGTTGCGAATTGCTGTGTTTGACCTGTGCTGAGGGTCCTATTGTGTATCTTGTTCAGTAATTTAACAAGGAGAAATAAATAAAAGAGAAAAACCGCGAGAATAACTAACGGTTTTACGTTTCAGCAAGTTTATGCGCAAGTACTGCGCGTTCGGGTCGCACATTTCATCACTAGAATCAAATTTAATGTTGTAATTCACCTCTTTTCAGCTTTCCACTCTTTTTTTAAAGACCAAAAAGACTGAATCAGAGTTCGACTACGCCTCAAAGAAAGGTTGCCGTATCTGCTTCTCTATGTTTCTTCATCAAAACACAGAATTTGAATTCAGAGATTACTGAAATACTGTACCTGAAAAACGTTTGCGTGAATATAATAAGTTCGTCTCTCTCATTCTTACATAGATATGATCTGGGGTCATCTGAAAAGATTGCCGCAGTGTTCCTTGCAGCATTCCTGACTATACTAGCAGAATTTTTCGTGTGAAGACCGAGATAATTTTCTCTGTCTTACTGAGCTCATTTTGGCAGCGAAAAAAACTGCACACATTTTTTGAAAACTACATACAATCATTGATTGCATCGTCCGTGGATTAATCGTCTTTTATTCCACGCGCACATTTTCTAATTCTGTACTTGCAATGTTGTGAGTCTACACAAAAATACAGCAGGCATCAAAATTACTGCAATTTTCTTCACAATGCTTTATTAAAAATGCCATATAAAAATTACCCGTATAATAACTATCATATAAGCTGGCCTGCATCAAATTATGATATTCACAACAGATTTTTCAGCCATGTCAAATATTAGAATTTTCTTTTAAATAAATCAATGAATGAAACGGTGTTCAATTAATCTCGCTTGATATGCGGTGAATAAATAGTTGAGCAAAAACTATCGTGCAATCCGATCCGAAAAGCGGAATAAAGAAAGAAATTTCCAGAGTTGAAGTGAGTTTATGAAAATTTCTCACCTACGATTTGAAAAAGAATGGAAATGAAAGGAAAGAATAATACTTAAAAAATGAGCTGAAAACAAAGATCGAATTTTAAAAATCTTGCTTCAGCGAGTCGACACACATTTCAAGCATTTCCAAAAGCTGACATTTCCTGTTTGTCAAAAGAAAATCCTTATTCCCCCTCAGGGGGGTTTCGTGAATGCAGGGCAGAAAGCTGATCTTGTCACATAGGCATTCGAAACTCATTACCTAGCAGGGACAGGGGACACGTCACTTGTTCACTTTTTCCGTTTATCCAGACGTTGGTAAGCCTCATCTGCTGACAGCTAGGCTCAGCAACTATCGGATCAACTGTCTCCTGTTGCATGGGAATTAGGAAGATGAAGCAGAGAAATGCAGTTCATGGCGATGACCATGGGTTAACTAAGTTCTCTAGTTCTTTGCGTCAGGCATTTTTGTTTTGATTTAAATATCAAAGTTCTTTCAAGCCGTGGCTGCATATACAGTATATAAAAAAATATCTCCTTACCACCACTATAACCTGGCCTCCTTCAAATTATGAGATTATTCACATAAATAGATTCTTCAGCCATCGCATGGAAAATATCAATGAATGGAATCTTGTTCAATCAATCTCGTTTAGAAAAAAAAACCAAAATATCTTTTTTGAGGAAAACGGTTATATGGAATTTCTTACGACGCGGGGGAAAGTCAAATACTGTATTCCCAGAGTTGAAGTGGGTTTATGAAAACTTGCGACCTAAGATTTAAAAAAAACTTTCAAATAGTGATGAATGAGCTGAAAACTTGAGCAAATATACAAGATTTCGACGCACCAAAACTCAAAACATGAAATTGAACATGAAGAGGACTTTCTGCACATATTGAGGATTAGGGAAGAACTACTGCAGACTTAATGCAAGTTGAAACCTGTGCTGGAACAGGAAATGGCACATTGACATGCAAGCACTGCAATTTGCGAAAAAAAAATGTTTGAAACAACCCTGGTGAAGGAACTATAAAATTAAAATGCAGCGACCTGAACTCGCATTTTTCAGTGAGTACTGTATAACAAAGCACACCAACAATCTTACTGTCGAGGCTTTGATTAACTTTGCATTTAAAAAACGGCGCAAAATTTCCAATTAATCAAGAAAAAAACAGACTTAAAATTATAATTTGAGGTGCCACATTATCCTCATTCCTCTGGGTAATCATCTCAGCAAACTGTATTGCTGAAATCCTTGCGGAAGGAATTAAAAAATTTTGAAAATCCACGAATATTTCGGTGCTCAATTATATTCACGAAAAGTCAAATGGATGATGGGAGCTTTATCACAATTAACAACATACCAAGCAATTATTCCCTAAAAATTCCAGGTCGTTTTGTAACCTTCAAATTTGCAAGCTGAGGTTCGCAAAGTTTTCGGGCAATCAAACTTTGCTGATTGCCAGTCGTTGTCGAAACTATCGCAGAATCGCTAACGGACCTAGTTACACAAGTGCGACTGTGGGAAACCCTTCTCGACCGTGTTCGCACTTCAGTCTTCGCCACCTGCAATGTTGACCATGTTATCGACTGCGGAAATCTGCGCAATTTTTTCACCTAGTTGCCAAACTGTGTTCTCTAATTTTTTTTCGCATTTATTTTCTATCCAAGTGCTGTTTTACTGCGATTAGTTCATCACCTCACCTTCCAGGTCACAGTTCCGGAAAATCAGCCTGAACTTCATTCAGACTTATTCTGAAGAGTTTTAAAAATTTGCATTTCGTGTACAAAGAAAAAGGTTCAAAGCGTTATGCTTTCGGAGCAAATAAGGAAATTTATTGCTCATCAAAACAACCTTGGTACTCGGTTCTCCGTTCAGGAACTGTTATAAAAGTTAGTAGGTTGGACGAGTACATAATTTGTGACTGTAACTACGGCTTAAACGTGCACTTTTTAACTTCGTCGAGGTTGTTTGTAACGTTGGTAAGTATAAGGTCCCAAACTTGTCTTGCACATTCAAAAAAATGCTCTTCAGTGCGAAATACCACCCAAATGCGTCCCTGCCTTTGAATCTTGACAAAAATCCGTGCGAACAAGCCATGTTCAGAAAAATACATTTTTCATCAAGTATTTTCAAGTCTACTCAAATGGAACCAATGATTCATATAAAGGAAATGAAACGCATCAATTGTTTGACATTGGAGCAAGCCCTGTCAGAGGCAACATAAAAAAAACATGGAAGAAATCAAAAGAAGTATTTGTTCAGCCAAAATATGAAAAAGTATTGCAGCGATTGAATTGCTCCGTCTCTGATGCCCGATGCCCAATTTACCCCAAATCCTTGGCTGAGCTAATTCCTCTTTTTTACTTATCCAAAATTTTCAGTTCTGGCCTCTGACACTACCTGGGAGTGGTGAGAAATTACAGGAAACATCATCTCTTTGCCAAAAGAGGAACTTCCTGCCTATATTCTCACAGAATTAATCACTGATTTAGAATGAAATGACCCACACATCTGAACCATAGCATAAATAACGAAATTTTGCGAAGTTATGTATTTTTGCCTGGTGGACAACAGAATGTTACCACCAGAGGACTGCAAGGACATGAGACAATTTTCCCTCAAAATCTGCACATCAATATCTGCAATGAATGGCACATGGAGCAGTACACATGGAAGGGCTTTTTGAATACATATTTCATTACCCTTTTTGCAGAAATTCCTGGGGGCTTACAGGAACTTTTGGAAGACTTGTCTCTATTCCTTCTCAGGAGCATTTGAGCTGTCTGAAATCCTTTTTTTGACGCGTGAAGGACGCATCTGTGCGTGGAAATTATCAACTGATGATGGGAGAATGTCTTTTTGGAGGAGATCACAGGAACATTTTGGGAGATGAGGCAAAAAATATGGTTTTGTACATCAAGGAAATAAGCAGTCTCTGGATGAGTTAAATTTTGTATTGCAATCTGTTTTGTGTTTTGGTGTCTTTTATGGTTACCTTCATACATTTTACTGTATTTAGTTCTTTTGATTTTTATTGAGATGCACGAGTGGCGCTGCAGTGGTTATGAGGATTATCCCAGAGTTGGGAGACATTCATTACTTTTCGTGATGTTTTGAAAATAAATAAATCAATAAATGGTTACTGGCAAGATTTGGTTTAATTCAAACTTATAAGAACCTGCTAAACAGACAACACGGGAAGTAACATACCAAGTGTATGTCATAACAATATCCCCATATCCGATACCAATTTTTTAGCACATATCCTAAGCTTTTCTTTTAATAGAAGTCGTAAAGACAAGCCTCTTTAAACGAAATCTGGAGAGGTATGCTTCATGTATAATGTGAGACGTTTTGTTGGACAGGGGCAGAAATGTTTCCTGAATATTTGCTGTGGAAGTTTGCCTGTTCAAGTTTCTTTGACATATGGCTGTTGTCTCTGGACTCGGCTATCATAAATACGTTTATAGTACAAATTCTTAATTATTGATTCATTCAAGTTTCTGTTGGTCGTAATTAGTCACACTGTATATTGTCGAAAACCCGATCTTAAAAAAGGAAGGAAAAAAAACGCGAGCCCTGAATAAAATCTGTTTGATTTGGATTCAAGCCTCCAGTCTTCAGCATGCATGACTGGTCTTCTCTTGAACTCTCTGAAACATTTTCTATAAAATAATGCAAACGTCTTAAAAAGAAGTTTGGAAGAGCCGTCGACCAAAGCTAAGTCGGACCGAGTCTAAGCGGTCGAGAAGGCCGAGAGGGTCAAGAGACTCGAGGAGCAGGTGTGACCAAGCCTTGGTTACTCGGTTACCGAGCAAAGACACTCCGAACACGTAGCTTGTTATGGAGTAGCCCAGTCCGAAGTCGTGGAACCACACTTGGGAGTGCGAAGAGACGAACCACGTTACCACTATGGCGATGTCTTCGAGGAACATGAGTCCAAAATACAGGGGATAGAACACCGTAGGTTTCAGGCCCAGTTCTTCGCTGAACTGCACACTACGGAGCAAAAAAAGAAAATCAGATTTCGGTAAAGGCCATTCTTTCGCGATGATAAAGTAATAATACAGTACGCGTTTTAGAAAAGTATTTCCAGATGATGAACACAGTGTATTTACTTGAGTACCACAAGCCCTAAGGCATGACTCAGTTATTATTTTTGCATTAAATAATCTGCCCAAAAATGTATCCCCGCATAAGACATGCACCGCAGTTTTACAGGGCTGAAAATGATATTTTTTATTTGAAATTATTATATTTGAAATTGAATTTATTTTATTATAAATTATAATGTTGAACAAAATAATCCCATAAATAAAAATATACTGTACATCATTTTAACTGAATTTGAGCCAAGCAGAATTGCCTCTTCTCTATTTGCACTATATTGTATAACGTAATCCCTTTCATGGCTTCCAACAGGGACACCAGTAATTTCCCAATTTTTTGGGGCAGAAAATGTATAACTGAACATGCATTCCACTTTTCTGCCTCGATTTTGGAAAATAAATATGCGTGTGGTACTTTAAGTAAATACAGAACAAGTTCCAACTCTGAAATTTCACCAAATAATGTTGAAGCTTTGAGCGTCTAGTCGTTGAGCTGGATTTTAAGAGAAGAAATAAAAGCTCTGCTGAATATTTTATTGAGAAAATAATGTGGTCTTATACAGTTGAACCTTGATTACTTGAGCCTTGCTATTAAGTGAAATACCTCCCGCCTATGCGAATTTTTTCCAATCTCCTTCTGAAATTCCCTCAGAAATAATGCATTAAAAACCTCTCCCGTGAAGGCTCTTCCCCTGAAACCTCCATAATTAAAATTTTATGGAGGCCTTCTGGTTATTAATTTATTGAAGCCAGAAAGAGAAAAGAGGTAAAAATGTAATTTTATGAATTTTGAAAGAAAGTGAAAGACTAATCGGCCAAATAAGCGCTTGCTTTCAAATTCATCAATCCTTTACAACATTCAAGAAGCAAATTTGAAGCCCAGAATGTCACAAATTAGAATATCCTACAATTCTTCTTCCTGTGCGCCGACAAAAATGTTTTTTTCCCAATTTCAAAGCATTTTGAATTTTGGTTCGGGTCTTTTGAAGCTCGACCTGAAGAGATTCGACTATCTTTAGACTTCGGAAAGCCGATATTGTGCAAAAATAAAATTTTCGATTTGGGTTGACAACGTTGCCTCGAATCATTCGTTCACCTGTGATTGACGACGCAGAAGATCAGGACGAATCCGTTGAAAGCGATTGACCCGAGTCTTCCCCAGTCCCAGTCGACGTCGTTGACACGAACATAATACGCCGTGAAGGCACCAATATGCGCCACCACCAGCAAGATGAATACGTAGTACAGCTTGGCAGCCAGCAATGCCAGGGCAAACACGCGTCCGCTGATGATGAACACCCAGCCGAAAAAGTACATGAGTGCAGTGGCCATGTTTTCGCTGTAGAGGCTGACTTCTATGATTTCTTCTTCGTCGATTCCGTCGAGATCTCGGGGATCCGACAGCGACGCGTCGTTTTCCGTCGTGTCGTCCGCGCTGGGGTCACTGCTCAAGTGCTGGGCTGGGGTCAGATTGCGACGCACTTTCCGCAGCTTGGGTCGACTCGCTGTCCGGTTCTGATATTTCACTGTCACTAGCGTCATCGACAGTGTTGAGAATATCATGCAGTAGACCTGAGGTCCCACTGCAGCAGAGATCAAAGAAAAAATTATTGAGTGGAAGGACGCACTTTGTAACGCGATGAGAGGCGAGCGACATCTGTAAAACGCTTGCTCAACTCTGAACAAGTAGTTCTCAGTATTCTCACAGCTATCGCTAAAAGTAATTTCAGAAGTGGATTCCGTCAAAAGCGCACGTGTTCCAGTCGTGATGATTCTCAATCAGTCTTGTACAGTATACTCTCGTTCGAAATGCTTAGTACAGTGGGTCCTTAAAGATAGATGGAGGCACTCCTGATAAAATCTTGTCAAGCACATAGGGTTTAGCTCTAAGTACCTTGCAGTTTGACATCCCACAATTCGTTCATCCCACATTTTGAAGGCAAAATTTACTAGAACGTCAACTAGCAATTTGACCTCTGCCCCACAATTCAACCTGCAGAGAGACCCAAAATGTCAAACATCGAATTTGACATTGTCTTGCAATTTCACCGCTTCACAATTTGACCCTTGCCCAGCAACAGATTAGGATCAAATTGCAGGGAACCACCTGCATCATTTGCTTTGAGAACAAACTGTAACATGTTATAATCCCTATGGTAGAGATTATATTCTACCAAAAATGTTTGTACTTTTTTATTTACATCATTTCGAAAAAGAAACATCATTACGTTGTGTCTATCAACCGTAATGCAATTTTGATATACATGAATTTTGTTTTTAATCGAATTTATTTTCTCTAATGCTTGAGACGATAGATCAAGAAGCTCAAAACATATAATTGTTGGATAAAATTATGATAAAACCATCACCAAACGCACCAAGAGGCTTTGTTCCTGAAAATATTTTTTTCGTATTGAAAAAACGCAAGTTGTGAGTTTTCATGAACGCCCACTTCTTATATAATTTTGATTGCAGTACTTGATTACTGTACAGACTTCCCCAACAATCTTGTCAAGATAATGTGTGTTACACCAGTCACCCTTTTTGACTAGAAAAAATCGGTATAAAGCAATGTTTTGGGTTCTTTTGTTATGGAAAAGGACTCAAAAATGTGTAGCATTCTGTGGAAGTTCTGGGCAAACAGTACGTTCAACTTCATGTCGCCGAGATTATCCTCGTATTAAATTACAATCCGACATAAAGTCAACACTGTTTCCCTGACGGATTTTTGAAAGGGGCTTCTTCTTACCCAAATCATGGTGGTGGTGGAAATTCGTGTCCAACAGCAAAAGGAACGCTTGAAAAAGAAACTGCGGCGCTGCTTGAAGAAAGGCCTGGTTGAAACGGTACTTGGAGACATCCGTTTGTTCTGAGATCGTTTGAAGATTTTCCTCTCTGCCTTCTTTCGTCCATAATGCGTTCCAGGCATACGGCAACAAACAAACGTACCTGGACATAGAAAGAAGTCTTGGAATGAGATGAGGTTTCTGGGAAAATTGCGCGTTTTCAAGTGGCATGTATTATATAACTTGAGCTCCACGAAAGGAATTTCTCGTTGGGAAACTATCCCTTTTTGAATTTGAAACGTACGCCCGCCTCGTGATGAAACGAAGTTGAATAATTGTATTCTCAAAGACAAAAAAAAACCAATACACTAGATATACACAAGCGATAAATGTATGAGCTCGACCATATATACAAAATGTACTTGAGAAAGAATACCAATTCCTGGAAAGGTATAAAATAGGACGATTTGAGCTATCGAATTCAAAATCATATCGACATTAATTAAAATTTCTAACAGACTAAAGTAAAACAAACTAAAATTACCCGTAAACACAACTAACAACTTGGCCCCAATTAATTCCAACACATTCTCAGTCAACAAGGTCGAGTATAAATAAAAAATCCTCCGAGCTAATCAGCCTATCAATCTAGTGAAATTCAATTCAATCTTTTTCAGAACAGCAACCAAATGTCAAACTAACGCACTATCATATCATTCGACTTATTGTCCATTGCACAGCTTTCTAAATTCTCTGAACTGAGTAGCCCTGATATAGAAATACTGTACCGTATTTTTTCAACACAACGGATATCTTTTTTGGGAATTTATAAAACAAGTTGTACGTCTTTCTTGGAAACAATTGATTTGGTGCGCGTAATCACAGCAGGATCAATAAAAAATTAGCCAAATGATATAAAATGATGGCAAAGCTTGAAAAAAATCCCAAAGCTTTCTATTTTATATTGGTTCATATTTACTATTACGACATTGTTACTGCTGTTGTTATGAAGCACGTATCTCTGCATAAAATGGGGTTAAGTATACGTGTTGCAAAAGCAGGGATATACATTTTACCCGCATTTTTCTTCGCAAAATCAAGTCGGGCGTCGGATTTCAGAAAGTCTGGTCCTTAATTGAGTATGTACAATACAGAACTGTCTTGTACATACAAAATTCAATTCACGCGGAGGAGGCCACAGGAAAAGTTAATATAAAATAAGTCAATTTTATGAAACGTGTCTATCCCCATTAAATGATGAGGAGCGCCGCTTACTAAAATGGTTTCTAGGCTTCTCCTTGGGATTTTAAAATTCAAATCAAAGAAAACAAAGTCCGTGAACTCTGTAGTGTGAACTGTAGATGAAAAAACAAGGTGAACTGACCGATAGAGTGGCCAAATCGGGAAGAAAGCAAGGAGCACGAGATACACGCAGGCCTCCTTGACTGCACGCTTCCTCTCTGCTTCGGAGCCTCTACAAATGCTTGCCACAATGGCCACCAGGGCCACAATTGGAGGTAGGTACATAAGCAACAATGTGACGAGTCCCGGTACAACTAGTCCGTGGCTAAAAAGCAGCCCGGCGACGACGAGGTCCGAACCCACGTCGCCTGCGTACACGATCACCTCGAGTACTAACGGCACCAGGAAGTACACGAATATGTAGAGTTGGGCTGGCCAGAACACTTTGTTGTCTATTTCCTCGAGGTTTGCAGGTGTTACGTTTGCATTTGCATTCGGGGTTCTTGGACTTGGAGATGATGACTGAGGGGCGACACCTGGTGGAGCGCCGCGGCGTTGCGGACGATGCGGCCTAGGTGACTCGACGTCATCTTCGAACTGGACTGTGCGACCTGAGCCCTTGGCCATTATTGTCTCTGGTCGAACCCGCACACGCCGAAACTCAAAAGAAAAAATAAAACAAAAAGTTTCTTTCCCCACGAAACAATCGCGTTTCTTCACATCTCAAAAGAACCTGCACGCATAAAAGTGCATGTATGAAAAAAACATTCGATTGAAGAGGATGAGGCGGAATAACTGTAAAAATATTAAAATAAATGTATTTCCTTTTCTTTGCCTCAATGCAATCGGTCATATGATGTTACACTTTTGTGATGTTAGTCATCAATCTATTCCACCACTAAATACCAATAGTTTAAGAAGAATTAATAATATAAAACTACTGCCGTTAGATATCTGTCCATCATAATTGAATACTTGATTGACCTGCTGTCATTGATCATTCTGACCAGACCGTTTTGTGCATGAAGATTTATTCTTGTGCTGCAAAAACTTTGTGAATTTAATTGGAGAATTTGAAATATCTTTTCATCATTATCTTTTGGGATTTTGTAATTGAAAATCCCCAACTGCACCGCACAGCTGAATGTTTTGTTTTCAACCCATGTTCAATTGTTACTTTTGTTGAGAAAAAAACCCACAGAGGGGTTTTTGCAGTTCCAATATGGCATCATTTTGTGCACTGCACCAAAGTAACTTCTATTGCCTTGGTGCACAGCAGAACCAGCCTAATGACCCATGATTTTAATATTAGTGAGCCTTGCCAAAATCTTGTGTGGAAAAAATCACTGACCCCCTTTCAAGACCCAAGCAGTGGTCATAAATTGTGTAATATTATTTGAAGAGCAAATTGTAAGCCAGGAGGAAATAATTAGAATTCTACATGATCCATATCAGGAATGGCCTGTCTGTAAACCCTTCAGCATTTCCTCTTTAGGAGGATAAATAAAAAAAAAACAGGTCAAGTGCTCAAGTGAGTAATGACAAACTATCTTTGCATTCATCTGAGCTAACCAACCTATCAATCAAGTGGAATTCAAGTCAATAATTTTCAAAAACACAACCTAATTACAAACTAATGCACTGAGAAGAAATTCATCTTCCAAGAGTTGCATATTTCAAGATGTGTGATTGTGTGTACCTCAATGGCTGAAATTCACTCAATTCTTTTGTCTGAGATCCAATGGACCCATGACAGTTTCTTGATAGTTGCATGTGCCACAAAATCAGCATATGGCAAGTCCAGAATAGGAAAAAAGTAGTTGATGCAAAATTTGATGCATAAAATAAGAGAATGATGGGCTATTTTCTGGCTAATTCCTGAAACTGATGTGTCACTTCTTGTACAATGTAATATAAAATTGAAATCTAAATAATGTTTTATATAATAAGTATATCTGAAAATAAGTCATCATGACTATGCAAAATATAGCAGACACGCGTCAAAATAGCCTCTTATCTGTTGCATGTCCAAAAAAAAGCTCGTCACAAAAAATATTCACCAATCACACATTTACTGATCTTTTCAGTCACCATTTTCACGCATCGCAACTTCGCTCTTCGACCTATAAAACATACATACACATGGGCACAAAGAACGATTTCCTGTAAACTTCGTGAAACTTTCATAAATCGTTCATCACGAAATTCGAGTCACTAAAATGGCGAATACTAAACATTTACGACAACAACAAAAAATACAACACAGACGAGGAAAGCCTCGAAGCAAGTCAAATCGGCTCTTCCGCAGAGGCAACAAGGGGGATGACGAGAATCAGCGCGAGGCGTCGATAAGATAAGCGTCGACTCGATCGTTATTGCGACGCTGTCGCGGCCGGAGTAAGGGTGGAAAAAATTCCCTCGCGTCATCGTCGACACACTCCAATCCATCCTTGCGTCTCCACTCTTCTTTCTCTTCTACTCTCCCGAGTGAAATTCATAGACGCCGTTGTTCAGAAACAACGACAAAAAAAAAACCAGCCAAATTTGCCTCGAAAAACGCGAGAAAATCGTAATAATTCGTTTTCGATTATTCATTCAGGTCGACGTCATCATCGTAAAATTCACGGCCAGCACCTAAAGCGGAAGATGCAATGAAAATCGGTCTGATTTCTACGCGCAATTGGAAAAGTATACTCGTGTGGAAAATTATATTCGAAGTACTGCTGCAGTTCTTTCAGATATTTTTTCATCGAAGAATTCAAGTAGTCTGAGCATTCCTCAGATTACTGTGCAGTACAGTACTTGAATTTTGATTTTGGAGCTGTACTTTTTTCTCGCTTCGAAACTTTAAATTTATGGGTCATTTGGAGACTTCACGATTGTCGGTTTAATACTGTTCACTATTTTGGTTCTCCTACTACATAAAAAAACGTCAAAATCTCCTACTACATAATTTTTTAATCGTTATAGTTTCAAGAAAAGGTGACGTGATGCGATATGAGATGTTGACAATTTTTTATTCATCCATTCACTACCAAAATGTGTTGGCTACGAATAAAAATGAAGAATAAAAACGGAATGCTCCAGGAAGCCTGTTGGGATTTAATAATGTTCTCAAGTGTGTTGTTTCAAAATCTGCAATACAAGGAGAAGTCACACTAACATTTCATTTAAATTTCGTTTCATTTCGACAAAAATAAATTATTGTACGCGTCTTATACATTGCATAGGGGGGGGGGGCATAAAGCGTTTGCTTTATGTCAGTCTGGGAAGCTGGCAACACTGGAAAATCGGAAAAGTCGGTGCGAGAATTCACAGTTTATTTTGTGCGTACATCCGTGCTTCCGGGATGCGACTTCCTTTGTCTGTTTCCGTCGTCGACAAGACGGTGTCAGCGTCGATTCGATCCGATGGAACTCCACTGGAGCATCTCGTGATTGAATTCAACAAAAACACGTTTCCATCACTCCATTTTCCAAGTCACGGAAATTCATACAGTATATATACAGCCCTCGGAGCGAGACGGTCTTCGAAACATTGTTTGGGGGCAATGTTTGACATCCATTTGGGCCACAAGAGAATTTTCCCCGAATAAATTTTAAAAAATCTGTCAAATAACCGCAAATATTATCTAATCAACTGGATTTTATTTTAAAAATAATATATATGCCGACATTTCTGGACATACGAAAGCATTTCATTTTTCGAAATTTTGCTATATCTTCAACATACTGAGCTAATTATGGGCAAAAATTAAAGTAAAGTCTCATGATACACTTTACTCTAAAACGGCTAATTTTATGCAGCTCATTTTAGGGCGTTTTCTAACATCTGCGCCCAGAATAACAAGATTTTTGCTTGCTCTCGCGACCAAATTTTGTGAGGTTTCCTTCGGCATAGTTATGTATTTTCAAGTCCTATAGGAAATTATTCTATTCAATTTTTGCCTGAAATAAGGATTAAAAACTAGTTGGCCTATTAGTCGACTTACATAGGGGTAATTTGTGATCCACTTAAACACTAGTCTTTCCACAGACAAAGCTGTATCCCTGCTCCAGGCTCGACGCTCGTGCGGGCACCCGCAAAGATCCGCTGGCTTAGGATCCGCTGCCCGCCCCGCGCCCCGCCCCCTCCAATCAGGAACAGGGGAACATTTGCCCGCGCATTCCAGGACATGCCCCCAGTCTTCCCGGCAAGAAGTGGACTTTATTCCTAATTTTTGATCAACCGGATAATCAGCTGAATGTATCCCCATTAAACACTAGGTGAATTTGTGATCAGAAAGGTGTCTGTTTCGACATAGGGACGAGGTCCGAGCTGCGAGCACGAGTCCGTATCTCGAGCCCTCACTAAACGTGCGATAGGAGAGACATCTAGAAAAAGTTGAAAGCAACAAAAAATAGCGTTTTACCGAGCGTTTCCTAGAAATCGCCGCGTTGTTTTTCGCACGCTTGCATATGCAGGTAGTGCTCATTCCAGAAAGAATGCTTAATAATACTACCCCAAAGGAGGTTCTGTATAAGTAAAAGAAGCTCTGACACTCATGCTATACAGTGCCAGCGCCGCAAAGACAGTCAGCTGTCCACAAGCGACTTGGGACTTTGTCCTGCGTCCACTCAACGAAGTTTAGCAGGAGTCATTGACGCGTGATGAGTACCCGTCTTTCCCGTTGGAACCCCCTGATCTTCCGTTTTTTATTCATACTTCCGCGTGTCCGTATAGTATGCAAAGAGAAAAAAAAAACGAGCCGAGCGCAACGAGCAGTGGAGATGGGGCACGAGTCCCGGTGGGGCTAAAGAGAACGGGTTCGGTGGCCTTGCTCAGCTCGGTGAGAGCGTCTACTGGGTCGAACCGAGTATAATAGCGCCAAGGGGGCTCTCCTCTACTACTACTACAACCCTCCGCTCCGGGAAGAACGAACTACAGGCAACGTTTTGAGGCATATTGACTCGGAGTGTGTCAGTTAGTTGAGGCTTGATGTTTAGCCTTTGATGTAAAAGCTTTCAGCTAGCAGCAGAAATCAGTCTAGGTGCATTTTCGGGAACCCTGAGAACACTTTACTCCCGCGTATGCTTTCAAAATGTTATGTTGTGGATAGAGAATGCATTGAGGAAAACTGAGGGAAGGTTTTCCTTCCTCTCAACTTTTATTTCAATTAGGAAGCAGTCTACAAGGAACCCTCAGTGTGAGGAATTGATTTTATTCCTTCTTGATCTTCACGTATTTTATATTATACTGTGTTGGGATTTGGGGAATTTTTTGTTGTTGCTTGTGCTTCATTTCAGTGTTCCCTTTGACTTGTGTAACTTCTTTCGTGCCATGAAATTACACAATAAATCAATCTGAAAAAAACTAGGAACAAATATTCATGGTGTCCCTCAGTTTTATGTTCTTTGCCTCAACTGCCTAATTTCCTGTGTTTTATCTGTTCTACAGTGTCTTTATCCATTTGTTTGTTGGGTTCCATTAATTCCCAGCAGGTGTTACTATGTAGGTACTAGGTGGTCACCATTATAGCTGTCAAGTAGTTTACGCTGATTTTCCTAGTTTTCCTAGTGACAGTGGCACTGGGATTCATACAACTGCATACCATTTTAAAGAGAATTGAACAAGCTTTGATTTTGTGCTTTTTTCATTGTCACAGCTCCATTTCCTACTAAGCTATTTCAAGTCAAAAATTTATTTACTTTTTTGGCCCACCCTGTATATGCGTGGAAAATTGCCTCGGAAATCCGTG